TTAATACGATATTGTTCATTCAAGTTAAGTCAAGTATTTGCTGCGATAATCTTGAGGATATCCGACTGCACATTTCGCAGTTGCTAGTATTTCATCCACTTATGTACATAAAGTTGAATGACACTTCATGATCGATGAAGTTAAACAGCGGTATTGCGCGTGCTTAACTATTATTTTCGCCTGAAATTTATTGTGGTCGGTGATGTTAAATACATTTTTCAGTCCTAGTTGAAGCAGGGTCAAGTGTCTTATTTGTATAGTTTGATGAATATGTAAAGTTATATAAAGTAGACTGCCTCTTCTTTAAGGATCCTTCTGGCTTTATGCCACGAGGTGTTTATTGAAGCGGCCTTTCCTAAGAATCAGTTTCGATGACAGCTTATGTTGTCGGGTCGCGGAGGCAACGGTCGCAGATTTGTCTCCAACGTTCCTGATTCAGTGCTGATGTTTAAGCTTAAGCGAAAGATTCAGCGGAGTCTGTCAAGGTACTTGCCCAGAGTCATTCTTAACCGTTCTCTGGTTCTTCGATCGGTCGGTTTGGCAGTTAGAAGTGGTTTCCCTTCCTTCTTGAAAGCAACAGCACGACGTACCGAGCCAACGCAGCTGTCACTTTAAACCTCGATAAGTAGCAGCTGTACATCAAGTTTTTAAACCTCTTAGATGAAATTAAATTGATAATGCGAAGTTTATTAAAATTTTGTTTGTAAGGAATCCATTCTAATAGTATTTAAATCATTTCGCACGATGCCGCGTTCTGCTGTGAATTAATGTAAAGCGATACATTAAGCATAATATATATTAGCGATAATGAATTGTAACGGATATCAAATTTTGCAATAGTCTATATTTATAAGAAAAACGGCCGCGTAGACCCCATTTTTGCAAACAGTTTGTGCGACCCTTCCAAATAGTTGGAGTGAAGGTCCCTTGTATCTCAGCCGTCTATGACGTATCAGCAGATATGCTGCGTTTTTTTTTTAAAGTATCCCGGTTTTCATGTTTCTCGGTCACCAAACTACTATAGAGTTAGTAGCTTTTGTGTACAAGTTCGGCCTGACATTTTCCAAGAAGCTAATTATGTAGTTTATCAAAGTGGCAGTAATTAATTGCAATGTGATGTTACTGTGAAAATGACGGTCGGTGTATACGGTAGGATAAGGTTGATGTTACGTAGTGTGCTTTCCAAAACTTTCGCAGTTTGCATTTCGATATTGTAATCCATGCCATTCGGCTTACTTGCCTTTCTTCACTAGGTTAATGAATGAGTACCACTTCATTAGAAGTCAACGGGGGGCGGGGACCATGCTTGCCGCATGGGTGTAGTTGGGCCTTTGAAAACACATTCCTGGCTGATGACATGGAAATGGAAGTCAGCGCCTCATTAGCTTAAAGAAATATGTTGAGCATGGCTTCCTCGTCCATGTTTAAAGAGGAGCGAAATTCCAACGGTTACACATTTTTCTTCCTTTTATTTCTGCAGATAAAAATCATTCATTTGAGAATTGTGCGTCTGATCTGAGAGCAGGTTGACGTAGTTATTCATTAATTTCTGCCAAGAAGAAGAGTGCATGTGCCTATGTATCGGATGATTTTAGATATGTAAGGCACCAAGTTCAAAGCTTAAGATATTCATTGTCTGCCTTCCTTGATTCTTGTTGAACTCAGTCTTTCATCTGTTTGTTTTATTAATGTATTTTTCGGTTTACTTTTCTTTTTTAAAGTATGTCGCGATGCTACTTTCATTTTTCGTTATGAATTATGAACATATGGATTGGTGATGGTGGCGAGCTTGTTTGTAATCCAAGACGCGGCGAATATGATCTTAGAACTTTGAATCTTCTTGGAACCGCTGAGTTTAAAGACTTCTTTAATTTTATGGTTCTCCTCAGTTTCTGAAGCTAGACATATTACGTTGTTAGACCGTCATTGTCTCATCGTCGTTTATTT